GCTCATTTTATACCTGCAAAAACTGAAGACAGAATTAAATTGTACCAAAGGTTAACAAAGCTTTTAAGTGGGTGGGAACACTTAAAAACCTAGGTGGACAGACTCCAGAACCCATGTTCTCAACCAATATGCAATACTATCTCTGCAGAGATTGGAAACCCAAGAAAATCAGCTGAAAAATCATTAGAAATGGTAACAACATTTCAGGATGCAAATGTAAATATTAATATATAAAAATAATAATGTAAAAATATTTAAAAATAATATACAGTATTACACACACACACACACACACACACACACACACAGCTTCACCTTATCAAACAATGACCAAATTAATTAATGGGGTAAAAGAGCCCCATGAAAATGGGGTAAAAGACCTGGGAATAAATTTTTTAAATAGGCAGAATATACATACATAAAATTCTACTGAAAGATATTTAAAAAGTCTTTGGTACGTAGAGAAACATGACACTTTCCCAGCTGAAAAGGCTCACTAATGAAAGAGGATAGAGATCTCTTTCTCCAGAATTAATCTGTACATTTAACATAAAGTCAGTTCAATTTACTTTAAGAGGGAGTGGCCCAGTTCAACAAACTGGCACTTGATAAAAACTGGTGCAAACTTTGGAAGGAAAGTTGAACCAGTATCTATAAATATTTTATATGTGCATTCCCCTTGACATAGAAATTTGTTCTAGGAATCTATCCCACAGAAATACCAACACTTGCTACCAAAGATGGACAAAGAATGTTCATGGCAGTTTTATTTGCAACAGTAAGAAAAAGATAAAGAGGGGAAAGGGAGGAGGGACAGGGGAGGGGGGAGGAGAAAAGGAGAGGAAGGAAGGAGGAACTGCAGGGAAAGAAAATGCCCAGCAACAGGAAACATTTTTACATAATTATACAAAGGGACCATAGGAGCCATTAAAAAGGAAGCGAAAGCTTTAAATATACTAATATTTAAAAAGTCTTAGCTAGGTCTCTGCTAGGGACTGAATGCATTCCCCCCAAATTCATGTATTAAAACGCTAACCCTCGGGGCACCTGGGTGGCTCAGTGGGTTAAGCCTCTGCCTTCAGCTCAGGTCACGATCTCAGGGTCCTGGGATGGAGCCCTGCATCGGGCTCTCTGCTCAGCGGGGGAGCCTGCTTCCCCCTCTCTCTCTGCCTGCCTCTCTGCCTGCTTGTGATCTCTCTCTCTCTGTCAAATAAATAAATAAATTTAAAAAGAAAATGCTAATCCTCAATGTGATATGCGGATATGGGGTCTTTGGGAAGTAATTAGGTCTTGGTGGTGGAACTCTCATGTTGGGATTAGTGCCCTTATAAGAAGAGGTGGGAGAGCACTGGCTTGCTCTCTCTGCTCTCTGCCAGTGAGAATACAGTGAGAAGGTAGCATCCCTACACCGGGAAGAGGGCCCTCAGCAGGGCACCCTGATCTCAGACTTTCAGCCTCCAGAAAGAAATGTTTTGCTGTTTCCACCACCCTATCTATGGTAACTTGTTACAATTTGAGCAGATTTTAAGTGTCTAAAGGAAAAATAAGGCAAACTATGTCAATGCAATTGCAAAAAAAATGTATAGGGTATGGTCATTCTATTTTTAATATGGAGCATAATTCAGTGAAAGAGAGATGAAGGTGTGGAGGAATGGAAGCTTCCTGTTTTGCTTTCAACATGCCCCCCCTTTTTTAAAAAGATTTTTATTTATTTATTTGACAGATAGAGATCACAAGTAGGCAGAGAGGCAGGCAGAGAGAGAGGGGGGTGGGAAGCAGGCTCCCCACTGAACAGAGAGCCCAATGCGGGGCTACATCCCAGGCTCCTGAGATCATGACCTGAGCTGAAGGTGGAGGCTTAACCCACTGAGCCACCCAGACACCCCTCAACACTTTTTTTTTAAAGATTTTATTTAGAATTTAGAATTTAAAATAAAGATTTTATTTATTTATTTATTAAATAAATATTTATTTAATTTATTCAGAGAGAGAGCATGTGGACAAGCATGGGGGGGGGGAGGGCAGAGGGAGAAGCAGACTTCATGCTCCGTAAGGAGCCCAACATGGGGCTCTATCCCAGGACTTTGAGATCATGACCTGAGCCAAGGCAGATGCTTAATTGACAGACTGACTGAGCCACCCAGGCTCCCCTTTCAACACTTTTGTAAAGAGTTATGTATTACTTTTATGATAATTATTAAATGTTCATTCAACAAATACTGAGTCTTGTGCCGGGCACTGGGTTAGTGACATGACATTCAGGGCCCCTATACTCTGAGGACCCTTGTTATCAAAATCCAACAGAAATCCGAACAAGATTTTGTCTGTTTCTTTTGGTGGCACAGGGAGGGAGAGGTTAGTTAAATTGACCAAAGTATTCTAAAGATTTTCTGGGATTAATACTAATAAAAACTGCTAGGAAATGCTCACTTTGCTGGCATATACACTAAAATTGGGAGGATGTATCAAAAATCAGCATGGCTCCTGGGCAATGATGACATCAATTTTATGTAGCACTTCATAATTTTTTATTGTGATGGTGGTTACATTTGATAAAATTCATGAAAATATACATTGAAATGTGTTTTACTGCATGCAAACTATACTTCAATAAAACTGATTTTTCTAAGAGCTGGGAAAATGACAATACAGAGTAGTAAGAGGGAATCTGCCTAACCAGATTTTAAATCTACCATAAAACTTCAGTAATTAAAATAACATGGCACCAGCACCAAAATATGCTGATAAATAGAAGCGAAAATCCACATAGATATCAAACATGTAATAACTCAATCTACCGTAATGAAGCAATTTAAATGCGGGGTGAAAAACAGACTTAATAGTTTTGTGGCAACTGGTTAACTCTTCAGGAAAAGTAAATTAGCTCTCCACTTTATAACTTTAGAATAAATTTCACATTAAAACTTTCAAACAAAAGCTTAAAGGTACCTGAAGAAAATACAGAAGATTATTTATATATTTTAGGAAAGGCCCATAGGTTTAGGAAAGCCCCTTCTCAACAAGGTCTGCAAGCAGAAACCATTAAAAGAAAAAAAAAAAAGTGCTATAGTGAGCACTGTAAATTGTGTAAGACTGATGAATCACAGACCTGTACCCCTGAAACAAATAATACATTATATGTTAATTCAAAAAATGACTAAATGGGGCGCCTGGGTGGCTCAGTGGGTTAAAGCCTCTGTCTTAGGCTCGGGTCATGATCCCAGGATCCTGGGATGGAGTCCCGCATCTGGCTCTCTGCTCAGCAGGGAGCCTGCTTCCCCCTCTCTCTCTGCCTATCTGTGATCTCTGTCAAATAAATAAATAAAATCTTTTTAAAAAAAATGACTAAATGAAAAAGTTAAATTTCTGTATGGTCAAAGATGAAAAACTGATAAAACCAACAAGCAGAGTGGGAAAGACTATGCAACATAAATGACAGAATTATTTCTTTAATGCATAATATATAAGGAGTGCTTAAAAAATGAGAAACAGAAAGACACTCCAATTGAAAAGGAGGCAAAAGAGGGACGCCTGGCTGGCTCAGATGGTGGAGTGTGCAACGGGTGATCTTAGGGTTGCAAGAGCCCCACGCTGGGCACAGAAATTCCTTTTAAAGGGGTGGTGGGGCCAAAGAAACAAGACAGCTCACCCCTGCAAATGCAAAAAGCCAGTACACAGAGGAAAAGGTATCGGTGGGCCCTGCGCAATCAGACGTGCAAATTAAAACAAGATACTATTTTTGTCCACCTTATTGATTTAGATGTTTGTATGCAGAGAAAGCTTCAAGACGATATCCAGAAAATCTCAACAAACTAGGTGAAGTTTTAAGTTATCTTTATTTTCTCCTTTACATTTTTCTGTTTCCTAAATGCTCTGTAATACACTAATCCTTCAAAAAAATTCCAGTAATTTTAATAATGCTAGGTGTTAGACACCCATAGTTTTCTCTTGTCACCTCCCAAAGTACCTGATAGAAATGCACGCCTAAAAAATCTATCCCCCTTACCAGGTTCTGTTCTCCTGGGGAAATACACGTGCGCACAGGCACACACACCTGCAGGTTCTGCTAATGGGCCGCTCAGTGAGATCGTCATTGGAGCGGCCCTGCGCTTCTCCCGGGGGCAGCACGGGACCAGCAGGGGATGCCAGGGTCACACCCGCCCTGCAGGAGCTCTCGCCCCCGGACACTTCGGGCGCAGTGCGGCACCGGCAACGCCCGCGCCCAGAGGCCAGGAAGAGGATATGACTAGCGGGGGTGGTCCTCTCCAATCCTCCAGGAAAGAGAACGGGAGCGGAAGACCATAGTCCCGGATCTAGCGTCTGCTGCTGACCTTGGGCAGTCGCCATCGCGCTCGGGCCTCAGTTTCCCGGCCCGTAGGTCGGTGCTGATGGTTCCGATCGCCGCGCTGGCTCCCTTCGGCTGGTCTTTCCGGGAGCTGGGAGGGACGCCTTCCTCTGCCGGATCGCCCTTTCTCGGTTCCCGGGCGGCGAGGTCGCCCGCAGAAACCCCACGCCGCAGCAGCGCTTTGGCGAGCCCGGCTGGCTCGAGGGGAGAACGCGCGAGCGGCCCTTGCAGCGTGCCGGCGGCCATTAGGCGATGCGATGCGCCCTTTGGCTGTGCCGCCCGGCGGGGCTGGCCGGGAGCAGGGTCTTACCTGGGCTCGCACGCGCCCGGCTCGCGCCTTCCTGTCGGCCTCGCGGCGCAGCCGAAGCGGGCGAAGGGTGCAGAGACGCCCTCGCCGCGACACTAATTCATCCCTGCCGTGACACCGGCCCTGGCCGCGCGGGGGATGCCTTTCAGGGGTCCCCGCGGTCCTCCGGCAGGAAGCGGCCGGCGCCCCGGGCCGGGCCTCAGCGAAGCTCGACTGGCCGGAGCGCACGGCCGGGGGCGCAGGCCCTCCAGAGCGGCGCCAGCACCCGCCGGGGCTCTTCCCGCGCCAGCGGCAGCTCCGGCCGCGACGCCCAAGGAGCTGGGCAGATTGCACGCAGGGAAAACCTACCCGGTGGGGGCGGTCAGCTGGTGCGCCGAGGGCCGCCTCTGGCGTCGCTTAGGCGGGTGTGCTCATCGCCACAGAGGAACCATCGCCCAACCCGAAGGCCCAGGCGGAGAGGGCGCAGCGCGGTTCTGGTGCGCGCCGGAGCCTCACCTCCTCCCGCGGCGCCTCACCTCCTCCCGCGGCGCAGCTCCCGCGCCGGGTCCCCTCGCTCCGGCAGGCCATGTGACCTGCGAGCTGCGGAGCGACCGCAGCCCCCAAAACCAGCTTGAGGGGAAAAAAAAAAAAAAAAAAAGAGAGAGATGGCAAAAGAGGCGCCAACTGATGGGCAGAAAGGGAAAAGCAGGCTCAGGGCTAAGGAAATTGAGATGCTGGAAGAATGAGGTCTCTGCGCTTTTCAGAGCCCCAGCCCGCCTGCAAGCGTGTTCTCCGCGGAAGGGAATTAGTTTTGCCCATAATAAAAATAATAGCTGACACCACCTCCGCCCCAAATCCCTACGGCACCCAGCCTTATACCAAGCGCCTTATGAACGTTCCTCTAGATCTCAGTTCACTCCTGGACATTACAGATGATCATCCCCAATTTGCAAACGGCGAAAGATTTGAGAAGATGATGGCCAAGTGCAAACCCTTCCTTATTACAAAAGCCGGAAATGTAAACATGTATTCAAAAAATCAGAATGGGGGACGCCTGGGTGGCTCAATTGGTTAAGCGGCTGCCTTCGGCTCAGGTCATGATCCCGGTGTCTCGGGATCGAGTCCCACATCCGGCTCCATGCTCAGCGGGGAGCCTGCTTCTCCCTCTGCCTCTGCCTGCGACTCTGTCTGCCTGTGCTCTCGCTCTCTCTCTGACAAATAAATAAAAATAAATTAAAAAAAAATCAGAATGGTTTGGTTTAACTAGGTCACCTAGCCAGGGATGGGATTTAGGTCTGTGACCCTTTCCCCTTACCTGTCAGTCTCCCAGGAGTGGCTTCTGTGGTTCAGGACCCATCTCCAACCCTTCATTTCGGCAGATGTTTATCGACGAATTGTTCTGACGTCGTGCCAACACCATAGATGATGAGAATGAGGTAAGAATGAGACATCCTACTTCCAGACTTCTTGTACATGAGGTTAACAATTTTGCACAGAGCCTCTAGAAGAGAAAGCCAAGCAAAGGGAGAAGAGACTCAGGAAAGAAAGGAATGAAAAGTGGCTCTCATTACTGGAAGGGCTTTCATGCATTGAGAGAGGTCATTTCTGAACTTTCTCTCTCTCGGAAATCATTAAGAGGCCACAGAGGGTTTTGTTTTTTTTTTTTTTTTCAAGATTTTATTTATTTATTTGACAGAGAGATCACAAGCAGGCAGAGAGGCAGGCAGAGATAGGGTGGAAGCAGGCTCCCCGCTGAGCAGAGAGCCCGATGCGGGGCTGGATCCCAGGATCCTGAGATCATGACCTGAGCCAAAGCAGAGGCTTAACCCACTGAGCCACTCAGGTGCCCCACCACAGAGGTTTAATAAGAGATCCAAAAATAACTAGGTGAGAGCTGAAGGAGATAACTTAGTGCTCACTGTCAAAGTGCCGAGTATACCCTAAGTATATAACAAATGCTCATTTAAGTGACGATGTGATCTGTCATACACTGCAACCTTTATTTTAGTCACATATCACGAAGGAAACTACCTAAAATCTAGGCACTTCTGAAAAGAGCAGTGAGGTCTCCACATGAGAAGTCTCAGTCTCCACATGATAACTGCAGAATATGTTTTTCCCTTCAGATAGGTTGTCACTCCTCGTTCCCGCATAGGTATGTACATCTGTACATCTGTACATCTGTTTCTGCCTTCACGGGTGCCCCAAGTCAGGCAAGCAGGAAGCATGTTCCTTTTGTGAGAAGAATGGAAGCCAACATGATATTCATCATGGGGGCACATAGAGATTTATTCGTATTAATGAAATGACGTTTCTCAGTGCACGAAAGCCGTTCATTAGAAAGCCATTCCTTTGGGTCTCGAATGTTCTTTGGTCTTCCAGAATCCTATTTTAAGCAAATATTGTTCTGAAGAATATAACATTGGAGGTATGAAGAAATGGGCACACTGGTTGAAAACAAGTACTGAGGAGCCCAGGAAAGTGAAGTGGAATAACCCTGGGGAGGAAAAAGGAAAGCCAAAGGAAAATGAAAGCCAGCTAGATTCCACTCTGGCTTCCTAGGGTTTCCACCTCATGGTTTATTGCCTTTCTTAGCACTTCTAATTCTAGGTCAGCTTGCCTTTCTAGGCTAGGGGTTAGCAAATTAAAGCTCACTGCCATTTTTTTGTGCAGCTCGCAAACTAAGAATAGCTTTTTGTTTTTCTTTTTGTAAAGATTTTGTTTTATTTGAAAGAGAGAGTACAAGCAGGGGAAGTGGAAGGCAGAGGGAGAGGGAGAAACAGCCTCCTGGAGGAGCAGGGAGCCTGATGTGGGGCTCGATCCCATGACCCTGAGATCATAACCGGAGTCAAAGGTAGTCGGTTAACCAAGTGAGCCACCCAGGAGCCTCACGAATGGTTTTTATAATACTGGATGGTTAAAAAATAAAAAGAAGAATATTTTGGTACATGTGAAAATTATATGAAATCCAAATTTCAGTGTTATTGGTGCATAGTCATTCATTTACTTGTGTCTATGGCTATCGTGAGTTGAATAGTTGTGACAGAGACCTTATGACTCACAAAGCCTCAAATATTTACTGTTTGGTTTGTAGACACCTACTCTAAAAGGTCTGTTCAGTGGCCCACCAGATAAGGCAGTAAAGCCAATAAACGCTTATGTAATTTTTCTTATGTCAGCACAGTTGGTACGAGATATTAAGTTCCAGTAGAATCTTACACCCATCCACCAGGCCATCGATCTGTCCTATATCTTACAACCAATATTGACTGAAGAATTGTTCTGACATAGTACCAACACCATGGATGAGAATGAGATAAGAATTAGATGTGTGTCCTGCTCTCAAGGAGTGTGTCTTTAGGAATGTCTGGAACTATAGGAAAGACTGTCTCGGATGACAGCTGGATCTGGCACAGAGCTTGCAAAGCCAGTCCCATTTCCTAGACCAGTCCCAGACCTCCTCCCTCCAGACTTCTTCTACCTGAGACATTAAAAAAAAGGTATTATTAGTGTGATGTTGGCTCTTTAAAATTGTATGTGATTAAACTTCATCCAGTGGGAAGAGAAGTACACAATGATTTGAAGTTGTTTCATATTCCATTTGTAAAATCATATGGGACGTCTCTAATGTCCATGTTGGGTAACAGTTTTAAGGGTATTTATTATTATTTTATATGATTATCGTTATGCATAGGTAATAATAACTGCATTTTTCTAACACAAGAGGAATAGGAGGACAGTTTTTCAGATTAAAGCCCAAAGTTGAACCATTATCAAGATATTTTATGAAAGGGACACCTGGGTGGCTCAGTGGGTTAAGCCACTGCCTTCAGCTCAGATCATGATTCCACGGTCCTGGGATCGAGTCCCCCATCGGGCTCCTTGTTTGGCAGAGAGACTGCTTCTCTCTCCACCTCTGCCTGCCACTCTGCCTGCTTGTGTGCTTGCCGTCTCTCTCTCTCTCTCTCTGATAAATAAATAAAATATTTTTAAAAAGATATTTTATGAGACGTAATAAATTGAAGGATTCATGAGAGAGGTAGGAGGAGTGGTAACCTAGGAAAAACTGGGAAAATTATTGGAAAGACAAGATTTAAAGATTCTAGTTCTCATTTGATTAGCCTCCTTCTTTGTTCCACATTAGCTACCTTCCCTCCCTTGTGGTAGGGAGGGTGTTTTCTCTTTTTTTTTTTTTCTCTTTTTATAAAACTGGACTTTGGGATCACAGAGAGAGAGGAATCATAATTCTCATTACATGTCTATGTAAGAACTTCTATTAATAATAATAATAATAATAATATAAGAAATGCCCTTGAAATTGATGAAGTTCTAGAACCTAGGTGAGGTTCAGTGGGCTGAGTTCCGGAGCCAATGACCAAGAAAGAATTCTTGAGACATCTTTGGTGCAAAATGGTGGTTTATTAAAGCACGGGGACAGGACCCATGGGCAGGAAGAGCTGCTGCCCTGTTATCCTGAGGAGTGGCTGATTATATACACAGGAGTTGGGTAGGTGAGAACAAAGCGGGTGATGTTAGTCTCCAAGGAATTTTGGAAGCAAGGACCTTGAGGGGCTAGCTATTTTTGGGAGAAAGGTTATTTATTACTAGTAGTAAAAATCTTCTTGTGAGACCCTTTAGATGTATATCTGTGGGCCATATGCTTGGGAATGATTCTCGACACTATCTTGGAGATCTAGAGATAAAGTTTCACATTTCTCCTATCAAGTGTCCTTGTTAGTGAGATTTGGGTTTAGAAGAAATTTAACTTTATTTAGGGCTTGAGGAACTGAGTTATTTGCTTCTGGAAATTGTGCTATTGATAAGGTAACTTCTTTGTTTATAGATCTCAGGGACATTTGTAAACCAAGGGAGACTCCTGTCTTGTAGGATTGTGATTTCTGCAAGTTAGCTATTTGTTTCTCGCTTATGGCAGTCAGGGGTCCCTGAGGAATGTCACACACATTACCGAGGGGAGCAGGTGGAGAGGGGGTGCAAGGTGCCAGCTTTTGCTTTGTCCTCAGCCAGTCTCCTGCTCCCATCAAAATCACCACCCAACATGGAGGAGTACCTGGGTGGCTCAGTTGGTTAAGTGGCTGACTCTTAGTTTCAGCTCAGGTCATGATCTCAGGATCATGACATCAAGCCCTGCATCAGGCTCCAACCTGTGTGTGGAGCCTACTTGAGATTCTCCCTCTTCCTCTCCTTTTGCCCCTCCCACTTACTCTCTCTCTCTCTCTGTCTCTCTCATAAATAAATAAATAAAATCTAAAAAAAAAAAAAGAAAAAGAAAAAGAAAAAGAAATCACCACTTAACACGGAAACCAGAAATCTGACAACAGCTTCCATCTGTCTGTATGATCCTTACTTGTTCATCCTCTTGCATATGAAAGAAAAAATTATTCAATGGCACTTACTTTACCAGATGGTAAAGCATCAAAGGGGGCCATGATGGTAGGTGTAGGGACCCCTGAAATGGGGTCTTACAGAAGGGAATTAGACTCAACTCCAAAGATAGTGTGAGCAAGTGAGACTGTATAGACAAAGAACAGGATAGGGATTGTTGTAAAGCAAATCACTAAGGGGAAGGAAACATCAGGTATAAAGGGTGATTCTGGCTAAAGGTA